ACCATGCATTCCAGCGAAGATTTTTCTGTTCATAAGTCTATTCTGGTCACCAGAATTGTGTTATGCTCATTATCTATGAGGCGAAAAAAAACAAAAATGCATTTAAAAACATATATGTAAGCGAATACCGAGGATGACTAAAGCACGATTCTGGTGACCAGAATAGACTATCGGCAGCAGAATTTCTACCAAATCACTATGAAACCAGGTAGTGAAGCGAAGATTTTTCTGTCCGTCAGTCTGTTCTGATGATAAGAATTATGTTGCGTTAATTCTCTGTGATCTCTTACATATACACTTAAATTCATTTTTCTTTTCTTGTGTCTCATAGATAATGAGCATAATACAATTCTGGTGACCAGAATAGGCTTACAGACAGTAGAATTTTAGCTAAAGTATTTGGTTTCCATAGTACAAGTTTTTTCGTTCTGTTGAAGCGAGACAATATTGAGTTACGTTATGAATTGCATGCATTCCATGAAAAATAAATCCCTAAATTAAAATCTCTATTTGGTCACCAGTGTAGATGTTAATTGATGAATTCTCCACAAATGTAGATTTCATTTAGGGATGCATTCAGGGAATCTGATTTGTGGCAAATGATAACCTACCAATTTTTTAACCTTTTTTTAGTGTTTTCCAAGTGGTTTTTATTTTCTTTATTTCAGAAAACTGGCTTAAAAAATTCTCAATATATACCGTTTTGTAGAGCTTGATGAGCTCTATCAAACCATGTAAAAATTTCAGAAGAAAACACTAAAATCTACTTTTGAATCATTGACGCCTTAGTTTTCTATTAGACAAAAAACATAAGATTTCTTAAGTTCGACATCAAAACTATTTGATAACTCTTACAATTTAGTATCAAACAGTCCCATTTTCGATGCGCTTTAATTTGGTGTAAAATTAGCTATGTATGCTGTTTGAAATTATTGTGTTACCTCCCTGGAAAAACATTTTTACCCACCCTGTAGTTGTGTTCGGCGAGTGTTTGTATTATCGTAAAAGAGAGAGAACGAGAGACCATCTTGGACGAATAATAAAATATCACTTTCATTTTGTTGGTATTTTTTGATGATTTACTATAACCAGTAAGTTGTAAATCATAGTTTTCGTTTATCTTACGATATTGCTGAAGAGTTTTAACGACTGATTGTTCTTTGACGATGTTGTCCAAAAACCAAATGACAAAAGGCGAATAAGGAAAACGTGATTCCGCATGAATTTCTGCAATCGTGAAACGATCATTATTTTTTTCATCGACAATTATTCTATTTGATGATTCATCTTTGTTGTCGACGAAATCTTGACTAATATATCAGTAGGCTGATGTTGGAAAGCTGTAAGAAATTTCTCTGGAGTACGGCATAGTTCTTAACTATTGTCAAATTTTCCAAGGTCAACCAGAACAAAATTTAATAGCACTCAAGAAAATACAATGTATATTTAAATTATAGGTACAATATACACAGTATGTGAAAAGGCAAGTTTTATCTACTCATGAAGATGGAAAAAGAGAAATGAATGTTCTGAAGTAGTTCATTCAGCTTTCCAGATGCAAAATTTAAAAAGAATTGTCATCAAACAGCTTTTGCATCGACAAAGAAGTATGGGCTTAACTGATTTTTACCTTTCCACGAAGGCATTTACTAATTACCTAGGAGAATTATGCGTATATTAAATACCCAGTATATTGAACTTTGTCTATTTGTATACTCACAATAAGACATTGAAAACATCAACATTAATTGTCCGTCTCTCCTTATAGGTCAAAGATGTTGTTATTACAAGCACTGACGAACTCGTTGAACAGCTTAAACATATAAGTTTACATGAAGAAACGGATGACAATTCTATAAGTATTAATATTTATAACGGAAAGCCAAGCGACGATAAAAGTATAGAAGAACAGAGAAACAAAAGAAATGCATCGTTCATGTATTTTCAAATGTTCATCGATATTCTTATGAAAATGACAACAAATGACGAAAAATCCAAGCGAGATCTGACAACTATATGGCGACAAGTTCACAGCGGTAACCAACAAGAAGATCGAGTCATTAAAGAATTTGAAAACAAGTACGATCGAACGCAAGCTGTTTCGTGGTACACGAGAAACGATTTTCTGTATCGTTCGTTGAACAAGGGGCTGAGAGAATATGACATTGATATTCTGTTTGCAATGAAGTTTTTCCTGTGCGATTTGCAGCGCCAGTTAAGTGGCCTACATGTGCAGTTTTGTCAAAGCTTTACAACTGAACAAGTATTTCATGTCTATAGGGGTCAAAGTATCTCGTTCGAGGAACTAAATCTCATTGCAGAAAGTCAAAATAAATTGCTCACATTTAATAGCTTTCTCTCAACCAGCATGAATCGGTTAGTTGCAACTATGTTTGGACAATCTAGTAGTACAACAAATCTTGTGCGTGTCCTGTTTGAAATTCGAATTGACACTCGTTTAAAAGATACTAAACCCTACGCCAATATATCAAGTGCTAGCTATTTCCAACAGGAAGAAGAAGTTTTAATCTCGCTAGGTTCAATCTTTCGAATAGAGAAAGTTGAATACAATGAAGGAGAGAAAATTTGGGTGGCACAGCTGAGTTTATGCAGAGAAAATGAATTTGTATCGAAGCAATTGATGGTACAAATTAAAGAAGAATTAGGCGATGGCATATGCTCTCTTGGTTTTCTATTATATAAACAAGGGGATCTTAAGAAAGCAAAACATTTTTTTGAAGGACTTATCAATGAAAACGTAACTTTGACTCTCAATGACACGGTTAACTGCTATGGAGGAATGGGAGCAGTTGCAAGAAAAATGGAACAATTTGATGAAGCACTACTATATTATGAACACAGACTTTCCCTTCAGCGTAGATTCCATACAGAAGACGTGGGAATAGCAAACACATACTATGCAATTGGTGAAGTTCATTGTATGAAAAACAAACTTAAGCTGGCTCTTTCATACGAAGAAGACGCCCGTGCCATTCTTCTACCTTTAAACCATCCACGGCTATCAGATATTTATCAAGTAATGGCAACTATCTACTTAAAAAAGGAACAGCACCGACGGGCAATCGCTTTTTATGAAAATGCAATTGAAATTGATCGTAAACACTTACTTCCTGAGCATCCTAATTTTGGAAATAATTATATGAATATAGCAAAAACATATATACACTTATTTAAATGGAAAGAAGCATGCGAATATTTTTCAAAATCATATGAAAATTTTATAAAGTCACTGGCACCAAATGATCCTCGAATTTCAGCTTCAAAGCAAGGTTTTGACCAAGCAACCATGATGTTAAAGTTACGCGAATCGCTCAATATGACTGAAGAGGAACTTCAGTACCACCATTCAATTTCAACAGAGTCTTTTTTCAATAGAAAAAAGTGATAAAATTAGTCGACTTGATCACTGAATTTATAGTATTGGGTTGGCACGAAACTTTTTGCGTTTTTCAAAAAGTTTTGTTTTTATTTTTTAACTTCAAGGTTACAACTAACTTCTAACAATAAATGCTCCATTACTGTCTATGTTTTTCTGGCAACGTCTTGCTAGAGAAAAGATCCCACGTTCATAGAAGTCCTGGGAGTCTTGGTCGAACAAGTTGAGGAGGTCTATTTTGAGATCTTTCTCGTCCTCGAATTTTTTCTCAGGTAGATAATTAGACAGCAAACGGTGCAAGTGGTAGTTCGTAGGAGCGGATGTGGGTGTGGGTGTGGGTGTGCTTCGAGCTGTTATTAGTGTAAATCATACTCATACTCACATCCACACCCACACCCTCATAAAAACACAATTTGGAGAATTTTATTTCACGATAAACAGTGCCACCTATCGTTCCTTTTTTCAATTAATTCTTATCAAACTACTAATAAGAACAAAGAAAAAAAAACAAAGAGAAAAAAACAAAGCAATCAATCAATCAAACACACATTTATACAACATACAAACACATAATTAGAATATTTTTGGTTTTTAAGTTTATTTTGAAAAACAATTTATTGTGATGTTAACCGACGCCCAGAGTGGCCAGTTGATCGCTACAGTCAACGTGAAAAAATCGGAAAAATCGGAAGTTAACGTTGATTGTGGCGCCTCACCTGGCTACCCTCCCGGCGACTTACCAGCATTACACGACTGGCTTGTTACAACACTTGAACCATTGTAAATGAATTTTTTTTTTGAATAAAAATTTTATTTTATTATTTTTATTAGATGTGATGCTGAACCAATAGGTCTTGCTAATGATATTCTTAGACTTGTTACTGAAGATGAATCATTAAATATACTTCGTGCAAGTTGTATTCGTCGTCTTAAAAATATTTTAAATGAATGTATGAAAATCTTTTGTTTTTTCAAAAAAATTTGTTAATTTTTTTAATAGCAACTGACAATTTTGTTGATCAATTATTTGATAATATTGAAAATGGACGATATATATCTGAAAAAGAAAAAGTAAGAGAAAGAAAAAAAAATTAAAAACAATTTATTTATTTATTAAATGAATTAATTAGGAAAATATTCCACCAAAACCAATTGAAAATACAACTAAAATATTTGAACAACAAGCAAATAATCATAAAACTCAATCGATATCAAAATCAACAGCATCTCCATTTACGACTATAAATAGATCAATAAAAAGGTAAGATTGTTTACATAAAAAAATTTTATTTTTAATTCCTTTTCTTTAGAACATATTCTTCCATATCTGAAAATTCATCATCAACTAAACGTATTCAATATTCTTATTCTCATTTATCAACAGATCCAGTATCATTATCAAATACACATATTATTAGGTATTGCTTTTTAATATCTTATCTGAATTCTCTTAGATTCCATTCTATACTAAGACAAAAAGATGAATGTTGATGACAATTGATCTGCACAACTCTTAGATATTGAGATTAATTTGTTTTTTCAATACTTTTTTATTTCTCGTTTTATTTAGAAAGTGTACGACTTGCTTTGAAGATCTGTCTAACGAAATTCTATATGATATATTCGAGTATATTGATATATATGATGTTTATCAAATTTTTTTTCAATGTTAATTAAAGATTTCAAGGTTTATTAATTGATTCATCTGTTCCAATTCAAATTATTATAACAAATTTATCAATACCAAATGTTGAACTTTATTATAAAAATTTTCTTCTTCCTAATAAACACCGAATCAATCTTATTCATGTATCATATTCATTTATAGTTCATACATTTTTTTTACCATCATATGGTATTTCAAAATTTAGTAAAATTGAAATATTACGTGTTTATGATATTAAATCAACATATATTAAAAATACTCTTGATTGTTTAATGGATTTACCAGAATTATATTCATTAACTATAAATGTTATTGATAATATAGATGATATAAATATATTCTATATTAAAATATTTGGATTATCAAAATTAGCATTTTGTCAAGTTGAATATAAAACAATCCCAAGCCAAACAGATACAAATTACTTGGTTATAGATGCAACAATTTTTAGTCCATTACAACAATTTATTATTAATGCTGATTTTCCAACAAATTCATTAGATATTTTATTTTCGTGCTTTCCTCAAATTCGTCGTTTATCAATTGATAGACTTACATCATCAACAACAAAAGAAATAAAACCAATTATTATGCCTCATTTAAAACATGTTACATTGAAATTGAACAACATCAAGTTCAATGAATTTGAACAAGTAATGAAGAATTTTTTTGAAAATATTCAAATCTTATCAATCAATACAAATAATGATCAAGATTATATTCAAGCAACTAAATGGGAACAATTAATCATAAATCATATGCCAGATTTAAGTATATTTAGTTTATAGTATGATGGAATTGATAATACCACATCTATTCCTAATCATTTTCAATTAAATGAATTAATTGAAAATTTTAATTCATCGTTTTGGATTGAAAGAAAATGGTTTTTCAATTAGCAATATGTTGATGAAGAATCATCAGATGGTGGTATTGTTTATACAATTGATCCATATAGGTAAAATTATTTCTATGACTTTTCTTTTAATGCATAATTCAACAACAAATCATCCAATAAGTACGCTATTATTTATATCTTTTTTCTTTTTATAGAAAACATTATCACATATATCAACCTGCAAATCAACTTGAACTTGATATGAATTTAAATGCTGTTAAACATGTTCACATTTGGAAAACAACAAATGTCAATCAATCATTTAAATAATTTTCGAAATGCGAATACATTAACATTAGGTCATGATATAAATTATATATCTTTCAAAATACTTAATCATGTCGTATGTTTTAAAAAACTGAATCATTTATATATCAAAAGCATATATTTTTGTTTTGACAATATACTTGAATTATTACATTATGCATCAAATATTTCTTCAATCAATATACAAGCTATATTTGTATGTAATCGTACTTATAATATTATACAAAACATAGAATGTTATAATGATTTATTAAACAATAATCATGTTAAATCTTTTACAACACGAGATAATTGCGATTTTTATACCATAAATATGATTTTAAGTTTATTTAATAACATTAATTATTTAAAACTCAACATCAATGTTCAACAAATTCAACAAATTGCTGATCGTTTAATTGGCTATATAAATTCAAAAAAAGAAAAATTATTAATATGTATATGTAACATATCTTCAAACGATATCAATAAATTCAAATCTATATTTCAAATAATTCCTGATTGTTTTCTTGATATTATTAATTCTTGCGTTTATTTATACTTATAAAGCGTTTATGTATATTTTTATATTATTAATAATAAAATAATTTATGAAACACTACATATATTTATATTAGTTTTAATAGTTCCATCAATATGTGTATAAAAAAACAAGAAATAAGACATTCAGAATGTAGAATACACGCATAATCATCCATGTATTTTGATCAAAGAACATATAAAAAATAATGAAAAAAAGAAAGCGCGCAATTTATATGCGTGTGCAGAAAAGAAAAAAAACAGCAGTGTTTGATCAAATGTATAAAAAAACAGAATGATGATATGAACAAAAGATAATAATGAAAAACAAAAAGAACAATCGGACTCTGTTAAGTTCTAGCGCCGGATCTAGGCTACATTTTAAAACCAGCCCCAGCTTTCTAGCGTTTGCAATGACAGAGAAATTTGGAACGCACGATTACCCATATTTTGACCCTTAATTTCGAGTTAAAACTTTGTAGGCTCAATATTTCGAGCGAAAAGTTTTAATGTGAGATGCCCAGCCTAGGATACACCTCCTCTGAAAAATTCAGCAAGATTGGATGATCCAAACTAAAAATAAATTTTAGGGTGGGGCCTCCTTAATAAACAAAAATGACTTCAATTTACCTTTTTAATACTGAGCATTTCCGAAATATTTATCATGGCTGTGGGTGTGAGTGTGAGTGTGGGTGGGTGTGGGCGTGGGTGGGTGTGGGTATGGGTGTGGGGTGTGGGTGTGGGGTGTGGGTGGGGGTGTGGGTGTGGGTGGGGAGTGGGTGTGCGTGCGGGTCTTATTCTCGCCTACTGCTACACCACCACACCCACACCCAATATCCACATCCACACTCCACACCCACACCCACACCCCCACATCCACACCGTATCTAATCGTGTAGCGTCGTATACGACTACCGTTATTCGCTGTATTTTTTCGTATACGATCGTAGATTTTTCACCTGGGAACATCAGCTGATGATACTGTAATAACAACTTTTTTAGCACCAGCTTGTAAATGTGATTGACATTGATCAATTGTTGTAAATACACCAGTTAATTCAACAATATATTCAGCATCTTCAACAGAAAAAAAACAAATCAATTAATTGCTTATCATTTAAGATCATGAAAGAAAGAAAAAAAAAACATACCAACTTGATCTCATGGAATTTTTGGTGGATCTTTTCTAAAAATAAAATAAAATGAGACATTAAAATTTATTAATTTAAAATATTTACTTAGAAAAAACATTGATTATGTGTCCATTAACAATAAGTTTGTTGTCTCGATGTGAAACATTACCTTTAAATTTACCATATGTTGAATCATATTGAACCAAATAAGCCATATAATCAACAGGAATAAATGGATCTAGAATGATATATTTTATAAAACATATCAATAAATAAATCAAATACGAACCATTAATAGCAGCAACTTCAACACTTTCTTCAATTGCACATCGAAATATAAGTTGATCAATACGACTGAATCTATTAATACCAACTTCAGGACTATGAATACGATAAATTGAAAAACTTTATATATTTTTTAATGGAAATTCCAAGTTACTCACTTAATATACAATGCATTAGATGGAATCATTGATCGAATTTCATTAAGTCTTTCAAGTTGTGGTAATGTTCCAAGAGATCTAAAATCTTCAATTTCTTGTTAATTTATATTCCATTGATAATGACTACTAGATGGTGGTGGATTTGTTAATTCAGCATTGATTTCTGCTAAATTTAATGTTGCATCACCTACTTCCCAGACAATTTCCATTGTTAAACGATTTGTTACCCGGGTCGATTAAAACGGGTACCCGTTACAGGGTCGTTTTCGGACAGTAAACGATGAAAAAACGGCTAGTTTACGGCCGTAAATAGTCCGTAGTACGCCGTATGAGTGGATGCAGTAATACGGTACCGTATACCGTGAAATAACGGCCGTATACGGTGAAAAAGCCACTGTAGTACGGTCCGTAAAACTGCATCCACTCATACGGCCGTAATACGGTCCGTAAAGTAACCGTATCGTCCGATCTGGGTAAGTATGAATATTGAAATTCTAAATATGCATAATCAAGCTTTTCACCAGTATTATGTTCTATAAATTAATATAAATAATACAAATATTTATTTTAAAAATATATTTAGAGACAAACCTGGATCTTCCTCGGCATCATCTAAATTTTTGGTTATTGACGAAAAGATGATGGTGTTGTTGAACAATTGTTTTTATAAGTAATCAAGTTCTGGTTGATTGAAACAGATGTTTTTCTTTGCTTTTTTTTATCATGATTCAATAAAAAAGAAAATAATCTGTTTATACGTTCGGCTTCATAAATTTCACCACCACCTATTGCTAATAAACATTCCTTAACACCTGAATTTCCTGGTGGACAATTTGGTATTAATGATGTCATACCAAGATCTGTTTTGAAACCATCACAAATCATCATCAAGAATTCTTTAAGAATTATTAATTGTGGCTTACCACTATCATCATATTTGTTAAAATCATGATGGTACAATAAACAAAGTCTTCTTTCTTTACGTAAACATCGAATGAGAACGAACAAGCATGGACCGAGAGGATCTGTTGTTATTGTATTTTGACACACAGCTGTTTCACCTTGTGGAACATTTACATTTTCATTAATACTTTCTTTCAAATTGGACATGATTGTAAACGTTTATGTATATCAGTTGTAATAAAAGATCTAGCATA